GTGGCGGTATGGAGCAGAGATGAAGACGCAAACACCGGTACAGTCAAACTGGACTCATTACGGGATTCTAGGACCTGTCCAGAAGGAGAGATGGCGGGGAAACAGCCGAAGAGGAAAAGGTCTGAACAGGTAAGGGGAGGACCCGTGTTAACATCGGTGAGGTGTTTCAATGCTGGAAAAACCTTCTAGATTTGAAAGGAATGAAAACCAACAACTGCTTTGCTGGATAGGTGAGCAACGTTACCTGTGCTGTTCGCACAAACGATAGGTCAGTAACGTTACTGTCTTGTCCGTTTGTTGCCATGTTTGTGATGGTTAGTTATATGATTACGATTATGTATTTGTCCCTAAAACTTTTGACCGGGTTTAATGGCCACGGAGAACTTTTGCTATGACATTGGGATTATTTGGATCGCTTTATTATTTTGGATCGATTACTCGCTGTAATCCTACCGAAATATAAACTAGACCCCATGGCTTAAATTTAGATTTAAGATGATGATACACGGGGCCACTAAAGCTCTAAAAGTTGCTCCGTTTATCGTATAGACTGTATCGTCAGCATAAAAGATACCGGTATTTAAAAATTGACGGGCTGCAAAACGAGACCCAACCGCTTACTTGTGTTTGTTGTCGCCCTCTTCTTTCCATTAGAAGGATGCAGGTTTAAGGCACTTCCCTACGCTATTGGTTACATTTTTGAGATCCGGAAGTTCCCGCTGGCGTTGGAAACTACAATTTTGCCGTGCTGTCGGTCAAAGCAATAATGTAAAACGAAAAAAAGAACCTCGTCACGAACAGGATTCGAACCTGTGCGGGGAAACCCCATTGGATTTCGAGTCCAACGCCTTAACCTCTCGGCCACCGTGACTACGCATGTCTGTGTATATTTGTGCAATTATATAATATATTGAAGTACACAATATGATATAGTGATATTTCTATGATTTGAAGTTTTAGAAATTTGTATCAAGTTGTGTTGGCACACATAGTAGGATAGTAAGTGTGTATGATGTATTCTTGCAGGTTTATCCTATGAGTTTACCCGACGGCACTAGAAGGCATCGTGCACTGTGACCTCCCACCAATGGAAAGTTGCCACGTCATTCAAATGAAGCAACCGGTAGAATTGACGTAGAGAGGTACCCTATTTCTCTATTTTCAAAAAATCCCCTCTATCTTACCGCAGTTGTTTTGTGGTTGTTTTAGATTATATTAGTTTATGTAATCAGAGCTACTGAATTGTATCCACTTAGACTCAGGATGTAACGTACAAGACACATCTGAATTAATTAAAAGGCCCCGATTTCACATTCATATTTGTAATCAAGTCACTGGTTTGGTCATGTGTTATTTGTGATTTTGGTGCTTGGTTGTTGAGTGTTTTTTCCTTACTTTCGTGAAGTGGTTTATGAGTATAATCGTTAATAAGTAACTTGCTAGGGAACAAGCTATGAGTCTATCTAGAATGAATCTGAATATGCTAAGAAAGCACATTCTGGCGAGGGACCCACACCTCCACTATCTCCAAAAAGCCTTTTTCTGATGATTAATGAAAGTATCTATGCATCTTTCTCTCGACTACTAGAACCTTCAAGCATGTGCTAGACTGATTGCCCCATCAGATTTGAATGCAGCACAGATTACGTCATACGGAGACTGCATTGCGATTGGCTTGTCACTTAAAGCCCCGCCTCCTGGTGAGAAGCATTAATACAATTTTGGCTGTCGCAAGAAGAAGAATCTTCAATACTACCGAAGCTAAAATGATCAACTGGAAGGTAAATAAGCTCTGATGTATTCTTTTATAGATACCTTGGGCATGTTTTGTATTTGGCTCTTTTTTTGATAAACCGTATGCTGTCTCAGCTGTCACTAGCATAATGCTGACGTTGCTAAGTGTTAGCTGAGCAAGTTTGCGTGTGTCGCATAATATGTCACAACTTCACATTTAGGTCGAAGTTGTGGCTAAACACTTTCTTTATCTGTCATACCGTCTCTCTGTTCTGGTGTGCTGCTTATCTGTGTGTTGCTACACTCCGGTTGGAAGTGCGTACGTACGCTATTAATAGATTGAGAATAACATTAATATTCAAATTGGCGTTATTGGGATGGGAAACAAGCGTGACATAAAAACAACAAAACATTTGCAGAAACATAAGATTAGTAATTAAGTTGTTAAATATACAGATAAGTAACAACATTCTGAGGCAGTTGTAACAAAACAGTTACAAATAACTGAAATAAATTCCACTTGACTGGCTGGATGTAAGACGAATTAAAGAGTTTTCTGTAGGGATAATGAAAACGTCTTGACCTAAACTTTGTGTTAAATTTGGGTCAGTTGGCATAGCAATTTGAAAATTGTACAATTTCTGAATGAAATTTTGGATACACTGTTACAACTGTTAAGTCCAGAATGCACACGGTTTGCAGCTGCTTCCCCCTTTCACACACCTCCTCCTCTCTCTGTGACTAAATTAACTTCCATCTCCCATTTGGACAGCTGGGGCCTCTGAAGAGGGACCTAGAGGTTGATTCATCGGTGATATATCGCTTTGAGACACAACCCTATTACCATCAAAGCTATAATAATCTTATTTTAAAAGTGACCCCTTTATCACCACGCGTTTGTGGTGGATTTGTTCATGATGGTTTACTTCTGCAGCAGCCTAGCTGGCTACTTCTGCTGTTTTTAATAAACCAGATCTTTGTCACTCCAAATTTAATCATTAGTAAGAGAACATCCTGAAGTGTGATTATCATAGATTACATCGTTGATGATAACAGAATATCCTGCAGTGTTATTTGGTGGATCACATCATTGGAATATGTGATTATTAGGCCAAACCAATCAATTGGAGATGAGAAACATGTTCTCCAGCATCCCTGACTGTTCCAGAGCTTTCTTTTCCCTTCATTCACTGGTAAAGTTTGTCCGCAAGAAAAACAAATAATCAAAAGTAAACAGTTAGAGCAGCTGTGTTAATAACATAAACACAATCTATCTTCAGGCTTTGGACAATGTCCCCCTCCTCCTGTACATCCTGGCCCTAAAGACACTGCTGCTGTGTCTGGCGTTCGCCGGGGTGAAGATCTACCAGAGTAATAAAATAGAGAAGGCCCTGAAGAAGGAGCAGGCTGAGAAGAGGAGGCTAGCCCAGCAGACCCAGGAGCTTATCGAAAGCAAGAAGGAAGACTGAGCAGAGGAAAGAAGCGGCTGTACACAGGTACTGACCTGTACCTACTCATACACTCATGTGTTTAATAAAAGATACTTAAAACTTAGTAATCAGCCGCCATACTCATTAACAATCTCTTGAAGAGGTCTCTTTATGTGTTTCGGAATAATAACAGAGCTGTTTAAAACATCTGATTAAATTCATTAATGAATATGTTTTTTGTACATGTTCTGATATAGATTAATTCTGTAATTCATTTAGCTTGTAGCCTGTTGTCACAGGCCCCCGGTGCTCCCTGGGCAAGTCTTATTTATATATCCAGAACAGTAATTAACTTCGCACCTCAAAAACGGGAAACAGGTGCGTTGGAGGGGGACAAAAAAGTCAAACGAAGCAAAGAAAAACTCCAGCACACTGTCTAACTTGCAAGGAATATATTAACACAACTTTTCGGTACTAGACCTTCTTCAGGCAAATAGTGTTATATAGTGAGAAGCCATCTTTTATAGGAGGTGACTTATTTTGTCTACACCAATCACCTACTTCCTCATCAGATATGGCAGCCATTACAAAACATTCATTCATACTTCCATGAAATGAATGTAGATATCTGTATACTGAATATACATCAGAATAATATAATAAATGCACTCATACATCGACATACTCGCAAATCTTACCGGTGCCTTATATATCAATAGACAAATAACTTAGAGGAAATAGCAAATAAACATAACACTAGATAAATACATAGGACATATGACCCCAAAAAAACACAATAGGACCAAAAAACTCTCATACATCTCATACTTCAGTAATGTAAACTACCAATGAAATTTCAAATAAGTCACCTCCTATAAAAGGTGGCTTCTCAGTATGTAACACCATTTGCCTGAAGAAGGTCTAGTACCGAAACGTTGTGTTAATATATTCTTTGGAAATTAGACAGCGTGCGGGAGTTTTCCTTTGCTTATTTATATATCCAAAAAATATTTATTTGGACTTACAGTCTGTACATCCTGTGACACCCTTTATCCATAAATAAAGTAAAATAGTTTGAATAAGGACATTTTTTTTAAAGGGGTTTTAATTTGCTCCCTATATTTCATAATTATTTTTCAAAAAGATCATTATATGTAGTAATGGTGTCAAATTATGATTTTTTTTAAAATAACAATATTATTTTCTTTTCATTAATATTCTGTATACTTATAAATTTCAATACCTTGTAATTTTGAATGGATAGGTAATAAAATTCAGGTTAGTCTGAGTGGAGACGTGTCAACAGCACTAACCCTCCAAATATGCCTTTTCAGTAGTGTCACTTGAATGAGGCATTTACTTTACATGGGGTCAGGATTAACCAATTAACCCTTCACCACCACTGTAGCATGAATATGAACATGAAATATACGATATGTGTGGAAAGCTTAGACTAATCATTTCGGTCACTGTCGTCATTTTCAAAGAGAACACCCCGTCATAGAAGTATGTGATAAATCAGTCTTATTGACAGGTTATTGATCCATCGCACTAACGTTCCTTCTCTCTTCTCCAGGGAAACATGTTGCTGTCCTGAGCAACACACCACTTTCTCCACATGAGCCAGGGGCTAAATTACAGAAACTTCCTGTCTTAAGTTAGGAGGAGTCCAAGAGAGGATCTGCAAGTTAGCAAGTTTCTGTAACACACTCTCAGACTGTCAGCAATAGGGGGACTTTGCTGTGCTGTAGGGAATGATTTGTGTTTCCACAAACTGTTCACCATGTCAGTGTTTATATAAGATGAAATTACGTCATAAAACATGCAGACTCCTAAAGTGATCCTGAGATGAGGGACTTTATGTTGCGATGACCTCAGTGGAAGAACCACAGGAGGCTCTGCATCTACTTGTTATTCGCCAAACACCCGCTCATTTCTGGGCTCATCTTCCCCCAAACATCAGTTTGTACACTGTAATAGCAGGAAGGTCAAAGCTTTTCAAGTGTGCTTATTTATAAGAAAACAGCATGGTATTTATTCTGCTATATTCCTTATACATTGTGAACCAGCTTTGTGCCTAATTTTTGTAATTATATTAAATTGTTTGTTCCACATGCTGCAATATTTTCTTCCTTCATTTCCCAGAACTACTGGGGGGGACTTTCGTCACCTTGAGTCGAGTCGGATTATATCTGTCTTAAAGATACAGTTTGTTGAATTCATGCTCCAAACAAATAGGGGGCAGCTTATTACTAGAGTATCTGCTAACTGCTGCTAACAGGAGGAGGTTTTCAGGCCAGAGGCAAAGAGAACACAGCGGGGAATGCTGGCGGGACACAGGAATAGGCACAAGAATCGGGCCGAACACCTCCGACGAGACCGACAAGGGCCAATTTGACTACCGGGAATACAGTGCCGAGGTGATCTACAGCAGCTCCGACTATCCAGGGATAATACAAGGTGCATCTCAAGTTTCTTATTTTTCGTTTGCTCACTCTTCGAGCCTCGCTTGAACCGGAAGTTGTTCTGGCGAAGTCCCACGCTTCGCCGTGAAACAGGAAGTCATTGTAACTTTACATGCTCAAATCTGCAAAAAAAATGTATGTGCTTGATAACTGTCCCGCCCCTAACACATCTACAAGCCAATAATCATTTATAGTGGTACCGACACCTACTGGCAACAGGAAGTCAACGCTGTGTGACACTCATCACGCAATTTAAATAAAATTTTAACGTGTTCCACACTCAACGTACTGAGACATAACGTATAAGGTGCGTTCGAGATAAGTGTGGCTGACTTTCGCCGACTTGATAGTCTTAAAGTGAGCTGCATGTGACTGCAGGGGCGGAAATAAAAACTGCGCAGTCAAGTCGGACACAATCTACCTGCTTGAGCTTACTGTGAGCTGAGATCAATGACTTGCTTTTGACGTATGGCAGGGGCCGTCGCTGCTTGCAGCTTTAATTTCAAATCTAACTGATTAATTTATAGTCTCAAGACATCACTTCGGGCTGTGATTACTTTTGATGGCGATTTCTCATTATATTTGACCTTTTATTGACCAAATTGTTAACTGAAAAGAGAATTCAATAACGAGCATTGGCATTACCTGAAGCCCTGCCACGAGTTTTAATTTACACCTAGCACCAGAGCAGGATTAAATATTCACATCAGTTACATTAAGATTTTATTCTTTTCATTTCACATCCAGTCATGCATCAAGTGCGTTCTCTGAAAAGAGATTTGTGAAGAGAGCAGTGCAAGCGCCTGTCCATGAAGCAGATTATTACAGTTTAAGGTAAGTGAACCAAAACAGGAAGTACAACAGTAGCATGAGCTTTTTCACCTTAATGTCTTACGAAACTTTTTACTTTACCTTTCCCCTTTACACGCTACAAAGGCACATTTATTAGCTAACATTCTGAGAGCAACTTTAAAGATCATTGAATCTAAACCAGGTTTATCTGTATGAGGGATCTTCAGTGAAGCCCAGGTTTTTAATAAGCCTGTAGGAGGTCACGTTCTCCTCTATAAAGCCATACACTGGGTAGCCATGGGCGTGGAGTTTCTTGGCCATGTTGCAGACCAGGGGCGAGTTCAGCGCAGACAAAACGTAGCAAAACGTTTTTTTCAACGGAAACGGTGGTCCCCTGAACACCCTGTTGTGTACGCAAGCGCACTGCATTTTCCTGTCACTTTTTCCTCCCTGTCCTGTCAAGTTTATTACTGCAGGTTTTTTCTCTTTTGTCCCAGGATATTTGCTGTGACATTACTTCACCAATGGAAACGTTTAAATGACTGACAGCAGCCTTTCTAATCATCAAAGTAAATAATGGTATAATAATATAATAATAGTAATAGTGCCCATGTAGTCTGCACGTTATTCCAACAGTAGAGTCCTGTGATGGCAGCTGTAAATGGGACTACATAAATGTTACTGTGTCATTTTGTAAAGGGACTGATTATGAAACACTCATCTCATCAAGCTGAGGGCTGTAATGATCTACTGTTTACAGACAAAAGGCGCACCGCAAAAAAGTGGTAGGTCTAGTCTACTGTGTAGCCTAGTGAATGATTAGGCTGCTGTAATCCGACTGTTTTCAACAGATGCTATAATGTTTATTGGAACCTCGAGATATTTCTACATGTTATAATGTTGACAGACATGTTTCTGGATTGTGAAGAAATTATATGTAGCCTTTAGTGCCACAAGCTGGTCTGCTGCTCTGAGAGAGATCACAACAACAGTGGACAGATGATGCAGCTGTGCAACAGGTCAGATTTAATTGACGTCGCTTTAAAATGACGGCTCCGAGGAAAGGACATCTCATTTCGTCAAATGCCCGTTTCCTCGACTCCTCTCTCCTCGCGTCTCCTCCTCAGCTGCATTGAGCTTGAGGAGTTGAGGAGGAGCTTTTGGCACTAAAGGCTACAGATCATTTCTTCACAATCCAGAAAAATGTCTGGTTTTTGAATTACGGTGTTTCCATGCGATCATGCGCAGTAGACGCTGGTGCCAACAGGAAGTGGCCACTAGTATAGTAGTATTTTATTGGTCCAAAACTGGCTTCACTGCTCTCCATTCAAATCTGCGGGGTGGCTTCGTCCAGTAATATACTGTCTATGGGATCGAGGAGTCGAGGAGAAATGAGAAAGGCTCCACCCCCCGTTGCTGCCTACCCAAAGTTCGTCTGTAAAGCAACAGTAAATGACCTCTACATCTGTCTCATTTTCAGATAATAATTAACACTGATAATAGTAACTAGGGGGGGTCTGGGGGTCCTCCCCCTTTTTTTGCACCAATTTATGGAGGAAATGTTTCTCCCGTAGATCAACTTTTCTCATTTAATTTAATCCCAGCTGAGTCTACATACATGCAGGCATGCCTGAAGTAGCCTAAAGTCTTTGTGCATGTGGCACCTTTTCACTTTAATGATAAATTAGCTTAATCAATTTGAATTTAGTTTAAAAGGAAATACTGATGAAATGTTCAATCCCACAACACAAGAAACAGCTCGAGCAGAGGGGTGGGGGGTAGTAAGAGATGTGATTGGGCCAGCCCAATGTCAGTATAGGCCTATGCAGCATTTTTTAAAATCAGTTAGGCCTATATAAATAGCCTAAATAATTTACATAACACCGTTATGCCGAGTTTTGCCTGCCAGCCAAGAATTGCATGCACCTCCAAATACTGCCTTTTAAACGCTGTAATATTGTTTGTGGGCTTCATCAATGGTGGTATAAGTATATATTTTATGAACGTTTAGAGTCTTTAATATTTTAATACACTTAGTAGAATTACCATTCCTTGACATTCAGTAAATATGTGGTGATAACCGCATTTGAGCAATGAGCACAGCAAAGTGTCTGAAAAGGACCTAAAGAGGTGGATGCATAATTCGTCAGAACAAATTTTATAGGCTACCTGCCGAGATTTGCATCCACTTCTTTTCTCAGCATAAATGACCGTTGTCACTCGCGAGGTGCATGCAATTCTCGGCAGAGTTCGGCACAACACCGGCCCTAAAAGTTCGTTGGCCGGTAGCCTATGCCAGTTTACCAGTCCACCCCTGAGGCTACCCTTTTAGACATGTTTCTTGCAGACAGACTCTCCGACTCTCTCTGACTTTAATTGTCTCCATAATAAAAGTTGATGGGAGAAATTTAAAAAACAAAAGATCTTTCCAATAAATAGCCTAAATAAAGTTGTGTGGGGGGCTTTTGTTGTTCAGACGTACAATGAACACAGATTTTAACAAGACAGTGAATCATAAAACAACTCAAATATAAGACTTTGCAGTGATACACTTTTTAGTTTAGTTTAATATTATCTGTCCTGATGTATCAGATCAGTCCGATCAGCTGCAGCGGCCTGCAAGATGGCGGAGCGGAACAACTTCCGGTTCAAGCGAGGAGCTAGGAAACGACATATAAGAGACTTGAGAAGCACCCAGAGCTTCCATTTTACTCGGGTGGAGCTAGAAATATGAATGCGTGCCAACACGGACCATGATAGGCTCTAAAATGCAGGAGTGGAAGGATCAATGCGTTATCATTATTAGGCTACTATACAGCGTTGCTCATTCATCATTTACCAGAGGGGAGGAGTCAGAGAGAAACTGACGGTATTCCAATTCATCCTGTAAACCTATCTTCCACGGGAGGAGGTTAGGTTCACAGGATAAGTTGCCGGAGTTACTGATGTAGGGATTATCTGATCTCGCTCTCTGAAACAGAAAACCCAGAGTTTCCCAATATACTCAGAATTTTCACTAATCCTGCTTTCTGAAACGGGCCCAGGTCTGTTGCATCTCACTGAGGGAATGGTGGAGGCGATTACCAGACTAGGGATGCACCCAAAGACACAGCAGGAGAGGAACAAGAGGGAACATCAGTCAATGCCCACCTGCAGAGGCTGAGCAGCCAGGTGCCAAGAAAACCACCTCGGTGTTGTTGAACTGAGGGCGACATTGACAGACTCGACATTGACACTATCGCATCTTGAGGTAAGCAGCGGTACGAGACAGCACTTCAGTAGATATCTCTGAAACATAATACATAGATGTCTTTGACATAACGTGACTGTGATTTAGCATGTTGTGTTGATCATTTGAGTTCAATTGTGAATGTTTTAACTGGTTTTTTTTTTATATATAGCTCCTTTAAATTCAGCCATATGTGAGTACTCTCCAAATATCCCTTGATCAGTTCCTTGTTATCTTTCATTTCACTGAAACGGCCTTTAAGTCGTCGCTGTTATGTTAATTTATGTTAAAAAAATAGAGCATTCTTCCATTTAAATAACTGAACAGTGGTGCAACACCACACTTTTCCCTCTTTTGTTTCCACTTTTACTGCCACTCCAACAGTGAATTCACTACCCAACCCATCATCGTCTGCCACACAGGTTTCTACAGAAGTTTGAATTCTTGGCAAGACTCTACCAGTCTATTTTATGTATTTATATTTTCAGTGGTGAAAAAAATCATTTTCGTGCTCTATGCTCTTCTCTTCTGCTTTGACAAGCCGTCTGCACTGAAGAAGAAGCAGCAGTGCCTTCTGCTGTTTGTAAAGAAGAGAAAAATTACAGTAATTTATTTATTTACATTCCTCAGCTGTAATAGTCTTTATCATTCATGTTCATGTGGGGAAATTGTATCACTGTAATCCTGCCCAGAATTTATCAAACATACGCCTCTCTCATCTCTGTGTGTAAATGTTAACCGGTGTTCATGACTTCATGTGAACTCTCCTCTCGCTTACGGCCATACCACCCTGAACACGCCCGATCTCGTCCGATCTTGCAAGCTAAGCAGGGTCGGGTACAATATGATGTCTGTCACGTAATGTAACAAACATAATGCTTCAATTAAAACAATAAAAAACAAGTAATGTAACAAATGTGTTTGCTCATATCTGTTTGAAGTATGAATGGATGCACTTTACAAATAAATTTGAGACTTTTAGTTACAATATTTGCAAGATCACTGAAAAAATCTAAGAAACTATATTAGGCTACTTGAACAAAGTGTAATTTGCTCATATCTGAGATATTATTCACTCTATAGGCCCTATTCGCCCTGTAGGGAGCATGTAAAATGTACACATAAAAGAGCCTTAATGGAATTTTAGAAAAAGGCTTTACCTTTACCTTACTGGTAAGTTATTCAGCCTCTGTTATACTCAATACAGTTTCATGTGACAGTCTTTAGCTGTATCTAGTGGACAAATGGGGAAACCGCAGTGAGAGGAATCATATATTTGGAAACATTCTTTTTTTTTTTTTTTTTTATCTGTTCAACAATATATATCTACATATCAGAAATAAATAAACAACAACAATAATAACAATAACACAGGTAACAAGTTAAACAATAGAATTAACATTAATTATTAAGTAATTTAGCAGAAAATATAGCAAATTAGTTACTAATAAATTATTATTTACAGGGTTTTTATAAATATTTACAAGATTTATACATGTACACATTGAGCAATACACAATATACGTACAATATATACAAGGGAATGAGGTAATGCAGTGCAATAGTATGCAATGTTAAGCAGATATTTACATTCACTAACTCACTTTTTTTCCACTGTCTGATTTGATGCCAGATAAGAGGCAGATACTGTAGCCAATATGACTTATTATATTTTAGTCTTATTATAAGAATATAAATAACATGGCAAATTAAATTACATTGTAACCCACAAAGTGCAAATAATGTTGAGGACATGTAAATCTCTGTGCACAGGTAATTCTGACTAACCCACACCATGTCTAATCCAGGACCAAATTAGGTAAATACAACTGGGATTAAACCAGGTCTAAATCAATTCCAAACTAGGGCAAAATCTAAACTAGGTCTAATCCAGGTCTGAACCAGGTCCAAACCATAGCCCAGAAATCTTACGCTGCCCACCACACTGGGGTACTTGGCAGGCCCCACAAGGCTTTGTGGATTTATGAGGCTTGATTGGTCTGGATCTCAGCGCAGGAGGCGGTGCGAAAGGTATGAAGCCTTTACTGCTGGATGCCCCACAGAGCATCATGGATGGTCCCTGTGGCTGTGCAGGAACCACTACCAGGACAGGTGTTGCTGACGCTCTGGGTGGGATGTACGTGGCCACAGGGGGTTTATCTTGAATGGGCCGGTTCACAAGCTCCGGCTCTTCCACATCTACCCTGCAAAAATAAATCATACACGTGATGATGACTATAATTCATGAGAATCAATGTGTATGACTATCAATTCACATGGTTTGTTGTGTTTAAGTTCAAACCATCCAGCTGATAAATTCAGATATGTTCACATATTGTAATAAAGTCACATACTTGTGAAATGAAGAACTGGACAACTTACCTCCGCTTCTGACCATACCTTTTCCCAGCTGCATGACGTAGGCTCTGGTACTGAACCTGAGTTTGATCTGGAGCTGGTAGGGATTCTGGCAGAGTAGGAGCTGCTGGCATTGGTTCTTCTGACAGCACTCTTTGGTGGGGTTTCACCTTTGGCCCTGTAGTTAGCCTTCTTCTCTTCCCGTGCCATGAATGTAGAGATGGCCTTGAATCGCCAATCTTCAGCCTTAGGTCAGCTGGCACTAGGTGACTGTTGTCTGCCAGTTCTAAAAGGAGCAGGGCCAAGGCTTCTCCAGCCCAGGAAGATGCAGATGGCTCTGGGTCATCAGCACATCCTGCAGAGCAGGACTGTCCTTCTCCTCCACCTGTTCTGATTGAGTGAGGATGACATGTTTGTCACTGACAGTGTCCATAGGATCCTGCTCTGACTCTGCACCCACGACCACACCCTCATCTGCCAGCTCGTCCTCACTTTGTTCAGCCGTCTCCTCTTCTTCACGGGACTGCTCTTCCTCAACTGCAAATATGTAATGTACTAATCACCAGTGTGTCTAGGCAGTTACAACAACTAACAGTAGACTAATTAACACAACATGGCAATGCTGCAGTTTGTTTCATAATGTGTAAAATAAAAATGAACTGTATCATACATACTTGTCATGGATAGAATATGCATGATATTTATAGGTATTTGACCACTTAGTATGTATGTATATTGTTATAATGCAAGATTTTGTACCTTACTGGGCATAGTAATCCCTTGGAGTTAAGCTGGTTGACTGGCACGTGGCATACTCTACTCCAAGGAGCTCCTCCTCATCTGGGTCCTTGTATACAGCAGGGTAGGGCATTGGAGCGGCAATGATTAACGATTAATACTTTTAAAATCCAACGAAGGTTAAAGTCAAGGGCAACTGGACTTGGTTGAAGATACTGGAAGACCTTTCGTCCCTCATCCAAAGGACTTCTTCAGTTCTGACTGACTGGCAGGGAAACTCAGCTATTTAACCTCAGTGGGGTCGTTTGCCAGGATCGTTGATACCGCTGGTTCGTTAGTGTTCCTGGCTGTTGTAACGACAGTCATTACAGTCGTTAGTACTACCGAGGCCGAGACTGAACGACCATCGTTGGTATCTTCACCTACCTCAGTTGGGAAGTGTTTTAGGGTATCATATATTTTTTGTGCTTTAGGACTTTTCAGCGTTTTTGAGGATTTTATATATAATTTAAATTAATTAAAAAAAGCAACAAATTTGGGAGTAGACTTTACAATTCTACATTTGTGAATGAAAAAATTAACTATTACTACTGAGCTCATCACCCTTGCTTTGCAATATCAATCCAAATGTTTATGTTTAAACTCATTTATGTATATCACACCAAAATGTCTGTATCACATTACATGAGAAAAACACATGGTCTGTAGTTTCGATATCACTTTCACAAAATGTACATGTGTTATCATCGTTATCATCTATACCAAAGCGAAGTCTAAGTAATTCTTGTTGTTCTTAATTTAGTAATTGAATCTTTATCAAATTTTGTAGGATGTTGTTTTTATTTTGTCTTTCAGGGTAAAGGTATTCAGTAAAACAATTTCTAATAAAGTGGTTAGTGCATTTTCTATCCAGAACAAAGATTCCTTGAATTGATAGTGGGCCCAATTGTGGTTGTATTGGATGATATGCCAAAGTGTTAGAAAGTCAAATTCTTGGGGTAGTGTTCTATGTAATTTAGTAAAGTCTGATTTTAAGGGTTTGAAATTATGCTTGATGCAAAATTGTTCATAATTTAAAAATTGTCCATTGGTATCCATTAAGTCAGCTATGGACCATATATTTCTCCCATACCAATCTTCAAAGAACAGAGATCTGTTGCGGTGCAAAACACATGGTGTGGGGTGAGAAGTTATGTACATATAACATTTTCCAATACAAGAGTATTTGTCTATGAAACTCTGACAATGATATAGGTAATTTGTCAACATTAAAGTTCGCTCTAAGAAGAAATTCTAAACCTCCAATTTTCTTGAATAAGGCATTTGGAATACAATGCCAAAAGAAGTTGCTGTGTTTGATCCAAGATTTTACCCAATTTATTTTTAAGGTTCCATTAAGGCAGTCAAAATCAATAACTTTGAGTCCTCCATCCTTTGTGTCTTTAACCATACTGCTCTTCTTCATATAATGTGGTCTATTTCTCCAAATGAAATTTAAATTGATTTGGTTGATAGATTTAATCAATTTGTTTGGAATGGCATTGGAATAGGCTGGGTAAATACATCTCGATAAACATTCCATCTTAGTTAGGTAAATTCGACCTAGTATTGATAAGTCCCTCTGTAGCCATATATTTAGTCTTGACTTGCATTCTTTAATTTTATTTTCTACATTCAGAAGTTTTAATTTCTGATTTAATAGGGATATTACAGATGTCTTTCAGTAGAGTGTCGTGTACAGCCAGCAATTCACACTTTTTTAAGTTTAATGTTAGGCCTAATGCTTTGGAGAATGTTTCGATTTTGGCAATAGTTGTTTAAATTTGGTATCTTTTAAGAATATTGTTGTGTCATCTGCTAGTTGGCTGAGTATAATGTCTGTTCCAAGTACATTAAGTTTTTTAATATCATTACAGTTTTTAATATAGATTGCTAGCAATCTGTGGCTAAGATGAACAGGTATGGTGAGATTTGGCAACGTTGAGGAATACCCACATTAACCTTGAATCTCAGTCCACTGATGATGGTAGTGTTATTTACGCAACCCAACCCACAACCCTCAACCCACCAGCCATTGCTTTGACTCACCGCGTCAAGTGCATCATGGGAATGATAAGCGTAAACAACACTACTATCATCAGTGGGCTGAGATCGGTGACAGCAAACAAGAGGTAAGTCCAGTATATTCTCTGTGATTTTATACGTTTTTAGTCTTTACCGAATGATCGTTGACAGTGTTTAAGCGGGGTTAGCTGTAACGGCTCGCATTAGATACCGCGATTAGCACGGAACAGCGGATTTTAGTGTATTAAATAGACTAGGACTGTTTAACATCACGTCTTCGCGTAGCGTTTGGCCAAAAACGGCTTTACGAATAGATACGCTTTCTAACAGTTTTTCTGCATGGATTTACATGCAGCAATTACAAAGTTATTAACTGTTAAAGTTTTAAAAGCATTAATAGAGAAAATATAATCGCCCATCTAACTAACTAAAATGAATCGTAAAATGCAGTAATTCTTGATAGTCTTTGTAATGTTTTACTAAAAAGTAAATACTTTGGAAATACCCAAACACAATCAGGGCTGGACATTAGAACTAACCTACTATCCAAATACAGGTAGATTTTACTTATGGCTAGTAACACTACTGTCACTTGCCAGTTTGTCCTGTTGGAATTGACTGACTACATACTGTACATTTAAATAGTTTAGGCCTGTTTTGTCGGCTATCTCCACTAATTTAAACTATTTTGTCTCATAGTAACTGATAAGCCATTAACAGTCAATAACATGTTAAAACACTGAAAACACAAGGCAAGCAAAAATATAGTCTAAAATTATAAAACCATTACCTTTTGAACTTTCAGCTAATCATATGAAATATCACATTAAAAGGTAAATCAGATAACATCCATGAAGATTCCTCAGTACTTGTGTAGTATTTTTTTTTAATTATTATTATTTTACAAAATACCTTTTTACTTCTACTTTAAGTAATATTAATAGCAGTACTGTTACTTGTGTACATGTTTTGCATCTCCTGGTCTTCCAGTGTTTAGTCCACTGTACAGTTTGAAAAGAAGAAACTAATTTGAATCTGTTTCTGTTTTATTACATCAGATAAAAAGCATAGATTTGGAGGGACAGAAGTGCAGTGTATGTGGCAGGATAATAAATAAGTAACTTATGTTTTACAGGACCCCCTGGCATACAGCTGTATGTTTCAGTGAAGGTGGTGGTGCTGAATGGTGTCTGCCTAAACAAGTACAGGTGTCGGCGAGGCAGTAACTCCTTGGAGGGCTTGCACTCACACCTGTACAATGCCATTCCCCACAGAGATGTGGAGTTATGCCATTCCAAGTAAGTATAAACCGCTTTAATATTAAAAAAAATATTGATTACACATCATTGTTCATAGGCATACTTTACCTGTATCCTCCCTGCTTTTGTGCTACCCTCTCCTCTTGTGCTTGTGTGAGCTCTATGCTGTTCACATAGCATCAACTGGGTGTATGAGATGCACACACACAAAATAGCCTATTGCGGACAAAAGACAAATTGTATGTCATGCTGCTGGGCGATGCCCACTTTGTAATCAAAATTAGTTTCTGATGTACAATAATGCATGAATGGTCATGTATTTCAGGTGTATCTGATTGCATTTGCTGTGCAGTGGAACAGCCGCATGGAATCACTCCGGGTTGCTGGTGGTCATGGCAGTCAGACGTGGTGTATGGACCCGCGGCAGATTCAGCAGGCTGAGGTGCTCTTCGGTAAAGAGCATGTCCTCAAGCCCAACTTTGCCGCTCCAATGCCCTACCCTGCTGTATACAAGGACCCAGATGAGGAGGAGCTCCTTGGAGTAGAGTATGCCACGTGCCAGTCAACCAGCTTAACTCCAAGGGATTACTATGCCCAGTAAGGTACAAAATCTTGCATTATAACAATATACATACATACTAAGTGGTCAAATACCTATAAATATCATGCATATCAAAGTTATTGATTTTGACTGCCTTAATGGAACCTTAAAAATAAATTGGGTAAAATCTTGGATCAAACACAGCAACTTCTTTTGGCATTGTATTCCAAATGCCTTATTCAAGAAAATTGGAGGTTTAGAATTTCTTCTTAGAGCGAACTTTAATGTTGACAAATTACCTATATCATTGTCAGAGTTTCATAGACAAATACTCTTGTATTGGAAAATTTTATATGTACATAACTTCTCACCCCACACCATGTGTTTTGCACCGCAACAGATCTCTGTTCTTTGAAGATTGGTATGGGAGAAATATATGGTCCATAGCTGACTTAATGGATACCAACGGACAATTTTTAAATTATGAACAATTTTGCATCAAGCATAATTTCAAACCCTTAAAATCAGACTTTACTAAATTACATAGAACACTACCCCAAGAATTTGACTTTCTAACACTTTGGCATATCATCCAATACAACCACAATTGGGCCCACTATCAATTCAAGGAATCTTTGTTCTGGATAGAAAATGCACTAACCACTTTATTAGAAATTGTTTTACTGAATACCTTTACCCTGAAAGACAAAATAAAAACAACATCCTACAAAATTTGATAAAGATTCAATTACTAAATTAAGAACAACATCTAACACTCCTTATACCCCCCAAAATGAAAGAAACGTAATGAACACCATTTACCCCTCTAAAGAATTACTTAGACTTCGCTTTGGTATAGATGATAACGATGATAACACATGTACATTTTGTGAAAGTGATATCGAAACTACAGACCATGTGTTTTTCTCATGTAATGTGATACAGACATTTTGGTGTGATATACATAAATGAGTTTAAACATAAACATTTGGATTGATATTGCAAAGCAAGGGTGATGAGCTCAGTAGTAATAGCTAATTTTTTCATTCACAAATGTAGAATTGTGAAGTCTACTCCCAAATTTGTTGTTTTTTTAAATTAATTTAAATTATATATAAAATCCTCAAAAACGCTGAAAAGTCCTAAAGCAAAAAAAAAAATATATGATACCCTAAAACACTTCCCAACTGAGGTAGGTGAAGATACCAACGATGGTCGTTCAGTCTCGGCCTCGGTAGTACTAACGACTGTAATGACTGTCGTTACAACAGCCAGGAACACTAACGAACCAGCGGTATCAACGATCCTGGCAAACGACCCCACTGAGGTTAAATAGCTGAGTTTCCCTGCCAGTCAGTCAGAACTGAAGAAGTCCTTTGGATGAGGGACGAAAGGTCTTCCAGTATCTTCAACCAAGTCCAGTTGCCCTTGACTTTAACCTTTGTTGGATTTTAAAAGCATTAATCGTTAATCATTGCCGCTCCAATGCCCTACCCTGCTGTATACAAGGACCCAGATGAGGAGGAGCTCCTTGGAGTAGAGTATGCCACGTGCCAGTCAACCAGCTTAACTCCAAGGGATTACTATGCCCAGTAAGGTACAAAATCTTGCATTATAACAATATACATACATACTAAGTGGTCAAATACCTATAATATCATGCATATTCTATCCATGACAAGTATGTATGATACAGTTCATTTTTATTTTACACATTATGAAACAAATGAACTGCAGCATTGCCATGTTGTGTTAATTAGTCTACTGTTAGTTGTTGTAACTGCCTAGACACACTGGTGATTAGTACATTACATATTTGCAGTTGAGGAAGAGCAGTCCCGTGAAGAAGAGGAGACGGCTGAACAAAGTGAGGACGAGCTGGCAGATGAGGGTGTGGTCGTGGGTGCAGAGTCAGAGCAGGATCCTATGGACACTGTCAGTGACAAACATGTCATCCTCACTCAATCAGAACAGGTGGAGGAGAAGGACAGTCCTGCTCTGCAGGATGTGCTGATGACCCAGAGCCATCTGCATCTTCCTGGGCTGGAGAAGCCTTGGCCCTGCTCCTTTTAGAACTGGCAGACAACAGTCACCTAGTGCCAGCTGACCTAAGGCTGAAGATTGGCGATTCAAGGCCATCTCTACATTCATGGCACGGGAAGAGAAGAAGGCTAACTACAGGGCCAAAGGTGAAACCCCACCAAAGAGTGCTGTCAGAAGAACCAATGCCAGCAGCTCCTACTCTGCCAGAATCCCTACCAGCTCCAGATCGACCTCAGGTTCAGTACCAGAGCTACGTCATGCAGCTGGGAAAAGGTATGGTCAGAAGCGGAGGTAAGTTGTCCAGTTCTTCATTTCACAAGTATGTGACTTTATTACAATATGTGAACATATCTGAATTTATCAGCTGGATGGTTTGAACTTAAACACAACAACACCATGTGAATTGATAGTCATACACATTGATTCTCATGAATTATAGTCATCATCACGTGTATGATTTATATTTGCAGTGTAGATGTGGAAGAGCCGGAGCTGTGAACCGGCCCATTCAAGATAAACCCCTGTGGCCACGTACATCCCACCCAGAGCGTCAGCCAACACCTGTCCTGGTAGTGGTTCCTGCACAGCCACAGGGACCATCCATGATGCTCTGTGGGGCATCCAGCAGTAAAGGCTCATACCTTTCGCACCGCCTCCTGCG